TGCGCCGCAGACTCGACATTTTGACGGAGAGTGTGGCACAGACTGCAGAGAAGTAAGTGACACGGCGGGCAGAACCACTGCATGAATGAGTGCTTTAAAGGAGGGACGAGTATGGTGTGGGTTACTTACATCCACACAATTATTATATAACGGTGGTCAGGAGTAGAATGTATTTCAGTAGAAGGTCGATGAGGAAAGAGCGGGGACAAGAACGGAACGCAATAACAATAAAATCTGAGACAATAGATTGATGTTTGCAACAGGAACAGTCAAGTTTGATGTGATGGACTGACATTTTGCAAATTAACTATCTACTATATGATTCTCAGATTTTATTGAGATGCTCTGTAATTTTGCGTCAAATACCTTCAATTTTCCCCACTGTTCTTGTTTACTACACATACCTCCTGGATTCTACTGCTAGCCACTATCCAACTTGGTTTAGAATGCTTGTGATATAAAGCACTATTCATCTTTGCTTATACCGTTTACATATTTTATTAGTTAAACAGATTATGTATGTTTACTTGCAACATATTTTATCTAATGCTACCTTCTTCATTTTCTTTATTAATACTATCTTTAATATTGAAAGGTGGGGATTTTTCTTGTACGACTTCTCATTCATTATTGATTCGTTTTGTACTTTCTGTGTATTGCTACAATTGTTTACATTTTACACGTTCATATTTCGGATTCATGCGCAAAGCTCAAGTAGAAATAACCACGTAAATTGTATAGTTCTAGAAAACCCATGATGAGATTCAACATTTTTGTATATTGTAGTTGCTCTTCAAGAAAATGAGTACAGAATACATAATAGAAAGGTCTGTAACTCTATGATTGGAACACTTGATGACCACTTAATGTTCTAATACTACAATAGGAAATAGACAAATAATTCGAATTTACCGAAGAGAATCATGTCTCTAAAGATAACAGGTACGCCTTGTAGACAAGTGCCAAAGAACACGAAGTCTAGATCCAGAGATTCCTGTCGGCTACTCCGACTGCCTAGCATCTCAAGGTGGTGCACACATTTTAGAGTCATTTAAACTAGTGATAACATTGGCACTTGGTCGATAGAATTTTATAAGCACTAAAAGGTGTAGACAAACATGATATTAGTTGCTACCCAGTGACCGATCAGTTGTCTACAAGTGGTTATTTCATGTAATCTACAGATTATATTTACGAAAAAATTACGCATTCATTTATGGCTGGACACCTTATAAATCAAAATAAAAGTTGTACATTTTTCGATAGGTAGTAGGCTTGATAGAAGACTACCGCTCGTTCTGGGTACATGTTTAGACTCTGATCATGCTCTAATACGAGTAAGCATATGCATGTCATATTAAGATCCACTAGAGTTGAACCCAGTGACGAGAAAACCAGAAGTAGATTACAGGAACAGCTGAGGTCACACTTAGGTAGTTCTGAAAACGAGGCTGATCCAGATGTTGATTGGAAAGATATACAAGCAGCTGTGGAAACAGCAGTGACATCTATCAGTGATTTAAAACACAGGGTTACAAAGAACCAATGGACTTCCTCAAGGTCTATTGCACTAATGGATTCTCGTAAACTCATCCCATCAGGCTCTGAACACGATGAAGAGCGACAACAAATCAGATCTAGGTTAACCAAAAGTCTAAAGAACGACCGTGAGCAGTGGTGGGCAACGAAAGCAAAAGAGGTAGAAAAGGCGGCGGCTATAGGGAACACAAGACAGTTCTTCAGACAAATGAAAGAAACTGGGATTAATAAGTCAAGTGTAAGTGAAGCTATCTCGGGAAAAGACGACACTTATCTGCTCCTAGTCAAGACGTATAGAACGATAGGCGGAACACTTTAAGGAGCAGTTCAGTTGGCCTTCAGATACTCGACAAATACCCTCCATTCCCAAACAGCTCGGGTAAAACATTAAAGCAGGCCCCCAGACTCCAATTGAAGTTTAGCAAGCCATAGCCTATCTGAAAAGAGGAAGCGCAGTTGGTCCAGATGGATTGGCTCCAAAGACCTGTAAAGATGGTGGTCCAGTTTTAGCGATTCGGTTGACTAATATTTTAACTAAAATCTTGGAACTAGGTGTAATCCCATCTGACTGGTCGCAATTGCTGATGATCAAGATCAACATGTGATAATCACTGAGGGATTAGGCTGACTAATACAGCATCTAAAATACTAGCCTCAATAATTATCGGACGCCTAGCAAACACTCGTGAACTGCAAACACGAAGAAACCAGACTGCCTTCGGACCTGGTCGTGGTTGCATCGACCACATATTCATCATTCATCAAGTTCTAGAACACAGGCATACTTATCGGCGTCCAACAATGATGGTTTTCCCAACTCAAAAGCAGTATTTGACTCCGTACACCGCGGGATTCTGTGGCAGAGTCTGTCATTGAAAAGAGTACTTCAGAAATACATAAAACTTGTGAAGGCTCTTTACTCGAACACTAATAGTCGAGTCAGAGCTTATGGATAACTGGCATCTGCTTTTGCAACCTCAAGCGGTGTTCGTTAAGGCTGTCCACTTTCTCCATTTTTGTTTAACTTCATCATAGACCTACTGATGCAAATAACGTTCTCGTCGACTAAATTTTCACTAATTGGTCTCATTCCAGGAGGTTCACTTATCGACTTAGAATACACAGATGATATAGTCCTGTTTGGTGAAGACGCTGATAAAATTCAGAGTCTTTTGATAGCACTGAGCAACGATGCCAGAATGTTTGGGATGCGTTTCTCCTCCTCTAAACGCAAGTTGTTGATTCACGACTGTTCTGCGTCGACACCTGAACTAAGGATAGGGAGTGAAGTAGTCAAACGCATCGACAAATTCACTTATCTTGGAAGTCTGATCAGTCCTAATGAGTTGGTATCTGATGAAATCTCAGCACGGATTCAGAAAGCTCGTTTGGCTTTTGCCAACTTACGTCACTTATGGCGAAGGCGAGATATCCGTCTACCAATAAAAGGGCTAGAATACTGCGCGGCAGTTCGTTTGATTCTACTTTATGCCTGCGAAACGTGGACAGTAAGAGTAGAAAACACTCGTAAACTATTAGTATTTGACCACAGATGCCTTAGAAATATTGCTGGCATCTGCTGGGATCACCGGGTAAGTAATAGTGAGGTTAGACGCAGAGTATTAGGAGGCACCTTTATTTGATTTTAACACCTAGATATTGGTACAAGGAGGCACCAAATACATATGCGCCACATAAGTCTCATTCGATATGCGTGAGGGCTGTGATACTGTCCAAATGCCCAGACCGAAGCAGGTGGTTTGCTGAGGGGGCCACACCCCGAACCTTCGACCTGAAGGTCTGATCCACAAGGCAGTGGAGTATCGTAAATAGATGCAGTCCCATGGAAGCCGGTGACCAACAATTGGTTCATACGCCATTTGTTTCCGCAGGATACTGGAGCCCATGTGCACCAGGGTATTAGGGAACGATGGTAAATCAGTTGATGAGGTTGTGAGTCTTCATCAACTGAGACGGTTGGGCCACGTGTTACGCATGCCTGAACACCGATTACCACGACGTGCAATGCTAACTGGTGTTCGGGATGGTTGGAAGAAAATTAGGGGCGGCCAAACCAAAACGTGGTATCAGTGCTTGAAGTCACTAACTTCTAGTCTGAGCCATGTTGGTAGATGCAGACTACTTGGTTGGGGTCCGCGTCACTATCGTAGCCAATGGTTGGAGACTCTTGGTGGCACGGCTCAGAATCGATCACAATGGCATAGGTGTATACACTCTGTCTTCCCTTAAACTATGAGATTAAAATCCCTTCATATCTTTCTTTCTACGAACTAATTCTTTCTTCCTGTACTATATCCTTATTGCAATCTTTTTTTATATATTACCACCTCTGAATTAACTACTTTTATGAATCCGGTGTCCATCTTGTTATGTTAATGAGGTATGGCAACTTCGACCGATGCATATATTTGCCTGGTCCTACGTTGTAGCTGACTGACTGACACAAAGCTATTGGTAAGTTATTATTCGTCTTTCTACTTAGTTAACTTTATATGCTATAGACTCACATTGGGACCGCAAATAATCCACTACTAAGTGCATCACCTGTGAGGAGTTATGATTTAGACGGGTAACTTTTTGAAAACTACCTTCAAAATAAAGAATTTTCACACAACAATATTAGGGGAAGCCAGTTGTTACAAACGCCTTTATAATTAGGCTGACCAATTTTTGCACTTGTTTCTTGATATTGGAAACAGTACATCTAACATTAGTACTTTTAGGTAAAAACAAATTCTCAAATGTGATAAAATTGATCCATTTGGGAACACAGTACTCAAATATGATGAAGTACGTAAACCTACACCGAGTATTTGTTTTAGGTCAGTGAACACGATGCGAAGGTTGGGTTTATATGAAGAATGAATAATCTCTGGTTAATGATGATTCGATTCACAATCGGCATGTGCAACAAGACGGAGAGACCCACGCATTCTTACACAAACATACACACATGCATACATACATAGTTATGACAAGTTAATCGAGCTAAAAATATACGATACACGATGTTAGCTATATGCTGATGCAGCATAATTTGCTGAAAAGTTTTACAATTATATGATGAAAAAATATACATCGACAGAATTACAATGATGATTTTAACACTACTATTTGCTCCATACAAACAGTGATCAATCAATACTAGCACATCACTAAAAGATCATGTATATAAAAAAGTACTTGATTGGGCATACAAAACACTTGACGAAGTTGTTTAGGAAGGAATCGAAAACTATAAAAAATAAAAATAACTATCATGATTTCATGTGAAAGAAGTCTAGCTTTTTTCAGTTTATGCACAAAAATCGTGTTTATGTTATGAAAAAAAGGAAAAAGACTTGTTTCTTAGCAAGCATTAGGCGAAAAGAAATTGCCGAAACAAAACATAAATGTACGACATTGAAGTGTTTGAAGAAATGAGTCAAGAATTAACTTACCATAATAATCAGTTGAACGACCTGCTAATCAAATACAGTTTATAGAATATACTACCACAGAATGTCTCAATATCAATCTATCAATTTTTTCCACGTATCATAACTTTATTCAATATGTGAAAGGTTTATGAGAATTTATGTCATTTCCAGAGAGTATAATTAGGAACAATGTGTTATTGGAGAACCGCTCACATTATTCTGTAAGACTAAACCTGTCACTAACCGTGATCAAATATAAGTACAGTGATATGGGACCCCATCACTTCGAAACTAGTAAACAGTGAGGTCACTGTTTTATTAAATCGCCGTTTCTAGTTACTCTACGAAAAATCCATGGATTATCCGATCTGCATCCATAAACATTTGTTTCCATTGTTATCTAAGTATTTGAAAGTCAATAACTTGACATCATTCGATTTTGATCAAGGTTTGAAATTATTCTAACCACACTTATGCCTAACTGCAGGCTATTTCCTTTCTAGTGTAGATTGAACATAGTTTAGATACAACAGGACACAGTTATGCGATTTTAATGATGTTTATTAACTTCGTTGGTAGAGATTATCCGGAATTTATAACATGCAATAGAATTTTATTACTGCAGCGAGTGGTTATATAGAATTTAAACGGATTGGTAATAAAGTTGTTTAGTACACCCCTGGAATATAGTTTAGGGAGATATTATGTATGGAACGATCATGGGGTGAATGTGTAAACAGAAAACAAATATAAGAGAAAACTGAAACTGAGAAATTGGTTGCTTACTTTCCCGTTCTTGAGGTTCTTCTAGAGTCTGAGTTTCTTTGTTATAAACTATGTTTTCCGAAGGAGGAATCGTAATCTCAAAAACATCAGAAACTTTCAGAATTTTCAGTTTCTTTAAATTACGTTGGCTAACAATAAAAAACGTGGCAGAAATAAGGAAAAGACATATGAAATCATCCTAAATTCATGAGTATTGAGTAAGGAAACAATCGTCATCACCTTGCAATCTATGACAGAGCAAATTCACTTTGCGATATTTCACTGATGCAGTTAGCGGAAAAGCGAAGCTGAAAGTTTTATTGTGTGGTTTTGTAATAGTTAAACTATTTGTTTGCCAAAATATCTTTTCATTTATGTGCGTGGCAGATTTTCACACTAACGAATTAGAAAGTTGTTTGCATCCGAAGTTGACAGCAGAGCTAATAAAAGCATGAATTAAACAGATGAGAAATGGGACGTTTTTGGCATTAGTCAAACAAACAAATTTGCGACACTAAATATTTGTAGAAAAACTATATGCTGGTTTCGCATGCCTGTGACAGCTTAGTTGCAACGAAAATAACAGTGAAAACAGAACATATCAGTAAACAGCATTGGAAGCCAAGTTCAAACTACGTTTTCGAAAGATTAAGAAGCACTGATGACTGGACGCAAATCGTTTAAGCATAACTAATAAAAAGCTTCTAATATGTACATTCGGGAAAAGACATTTGTCAAAGAAGCCTTCAACTTTCCATAACCCTAATTTATCAACGGCGTATGTGTCCCCTGGTGTTCAGATGGATCATTTTTCCACAACTGATGTAACCATGAAAGGTACAAGAAATCGAAAATATATACTGTATATAAACCAGATCGCCTTACAATACATACAATTATTGATAAGCAAAAAAACTGATAAGAATAACTCACAGCATGCCATCAATCGTATCAAGAGACGGTGATTCTAGTTCACGTATGTTAGTAGCCTGAGGTACTATGGGTTCAGGTAGGCCAAGATCTTTTAATAATCCTTCAGTCGTTTGACGTATGTCTGAGACTTCAGCATCGTGTATACCAGTTTTCTTTATTTCCTCTCTTTTCTTTCTTTCCTCTCGCATAGCAAGAAGCTTTGCTTTTTTTCGCTCTAACTCCGCTTTCCGGTCTGACATCAGTACAGCGATTCTAAAAAGTCAAGTAGCGGTAATGTCGAATTGTACTCAAAAGGTTGTTGATGGTAAAGTAACCGCAACAAAAATACAACTATTTGACAAAATTTCTTTATTATTTCTTCGACGAAATAGTTGCGAAATGATGGTATGATGCAATGTTGTTTAAGTGCACACTAAAATTTCAGGTTGTTTGGATGTTTGCGTTACTCCCGAAATTAGTTTTAGGTAGGTTAGTGGTTCTTAGTATATGGAGTCGTGTAGCCAGACTTTCAACAGTTTTTTAAAAATAACTGACTGCGATTAAAAAGAGGCAACACTTTGAATATGTAAGTCTATTTACTCAAAGCTGTTGACTATATTTCTTTAACGTATGACTTCAGTCGACGTAGAAATGAGGCTGAGTAGTATATAAGTATGGATACGGTATGCAAATGCTAAATCAATTAACTAGATTCCTACTTTGCATAGTCCTGCGCAATTATGGATTCATTTTTAAAGTGTAGATAACCCCTACGTATGAACTTAAGTCGGCCATCCCATCCTCCATAAACAGAGTTTTTAGCAATGTATTGCATATTGGGCAGGATAAATAATAACAGTTGGCACAGTTTGCTTCAAGTGTTGAATTTGTGGCTGGAATTAGCAATTAAATGTTTGTTCTTCTTTAGAAACAAGTATATATAGCTCTCAACTTGTTGTAGGAATGCCGATACAATCATGCAACCATTGGTAGGCTGCATCCGCCAGCATGGCTCAGACAAATTGATTGACTATATGCTGACATCACATGTTGGTCGTTGTGGCTTTTATTTTAAATGTCCGAGTTTTAAGAATTTCCACACTTGAACATAACTTTCTAATTTCTTTAGAATAGTTAAGTGATGCTGTTTATATAAAAACATGGTTAATCACAGTCGACTCAGGTAACGTTCTCGTGAAGCTTTACAAATTGTACATGACTCTAAATTTGTATTGCGCGTTGTTTCCATACAATTGACTCCAATAAATTATAGATCGTATTCGCTGCACGACTTATCATGTTACCGTTTTCCCCTTCTAACGACGTCATACAGGTGATCTTTTCACTGTTTGCAATTACACTAGTTACCGGAAATCGAAATGCAACTCAATGGGACGTTCGACGTGAAGTTAGGTAAAAGTTTTCTAGATCGAGATTCAACATCCTACATGACCATGCGTTGTGATTTCATGCCTGCTTCTGTCGATCGTTCACAACCTGGGTCAATCAAAGTAAACGAGAGCAAAGAAGTTGTCGTTAGCCTGCCCAACGTTACAAACTCTGGACCAGATACAGCAACTTTGTTTCGTGGAACTGCACGTCCTGTTCAAAAAGAATGTATTTTGATCTACAATAAAAAGGTGATTCTACAAAATATTTTGAACACAACTGTGATTTTCACATTTGATTGTTTGACGTATTTTAAACCAAGATAAAGGTGCACCACGTAATTACTGTCACTTTATTTTTGCCAAATACCCTGGTACGGCCGAGGGTGGGCGAGTTAGCTCTCCCTCTCGAAATGCTCTCACGTATGCAGCCACTACCAGGGGAGTCCTACCCATTGCCTTCTCGCAGAGGGGGTGTTGTTTACAAAATGGATAGGACAAAAACCAAATATCCGGTGCTTTAACCGGGTTGGTGGTATGGAGGGTTTATCTAGGGGAGTTGGAAAACCCTGATTTCAAATCAGTGGTGCACATGGTCTCTAAAATACTGCGGGGGAGAATGGCGTGTGAACCTATTGTTGGTCACCGACTACCGTAGTACTTCATCTCCTAAATTTGCTCCACTGCCCTATGGATTAGACCTTCGTGTCAAAGGCTCGGGGTGTGACCCGGGCAGTATCCCAGCTTTCACACAAATTAGTGATAACTGCTACTGGCCTCAGTGTTATTGTGTGGCTCATATGTATTTGGTGTCTCCTTGTACCAATGTGTTTATGTGTTAAAATAAATAAATAAATGTACCAATGTGTATGTAGTCAAATAAATAAAAATAAATAGATAATTAAGTAGTTTTTGGTTGTTGTCTGCTGCTTCACCTCAGGATCACTCAGATCTTACCAGATTCTAAACACTGATTGACAAACATTTTCAGAATTATTTCGTTGACTAATAATGGTCGTGTTTTCCAAATGTTATTCATAAATCAATGCATGGCTGAGTTATTCAACTGTACTTTTCCGTGTTTTATGTACAACAGCCAGCTTTGCTTTTAGCTTCAAGATTTTCTGGATACTCTACACCAGCTGTACAAACGCAGACTCTTACTGCATCATTTCAATTTTTTGAGATCCCATTCAATCAAAACTAACGTAGTCACCAAGCTCATGTTTATGCATCCAGCTTTAAAGCATACTATCTAGGTATTCAAATCGACATGAAATAAACGGTGTTCGAACTTTCAACTCAGGTTACTAAGCGTGCCTTGGCCTGTATACCACTGTTCCGTTTCAATGCACTCGGTAGTTACACGCTTTGAATTCTCGTTGTTTGTTTAGAGAAAATTGACATTCCGTAGTTTATCGGTCATTGACTTTGAAAGGTATGAGTCTCTGAAACACGCTTATTCCGCAGAAATTGAATAGACAAGAGATTCTAGTTTTTGTGTCATTTCTGTGGACTTCATTGTATGTGTTAGTTTGTGTAAAAGATCACAATATAGTTGGTGTAACTGGTACACTATCCAATGCTAAGTACTAATGAGAAATATTTTATTAATGAATGAATCTATAACTAGTGAGCAATAAATGAATTTTGTCCAGCTTACTCTCAATGATCCCTATCTTGTTCGTTGCAAAATTGAAAAAAATTAAGATTGGTTAAATTTAGTAACATTTTCACAGTAAACTCAAGTATTTAGGGAAATTGAGTCGGTAATTGTCTATACATTTTCTACACCATCTAGTCTTATCCAACTGGCACTATTTGTTCAATTCATTCACATTCGTGGTTTTGTACATAGTAGTTTTTTGCTTAACTGCATCAAACTATTGTCTGTTGGATAAATTACTAAAAAAAGCCCAATCCATAACATATGTCATACAATTTGTAAAATCATTACTGTCGTAAGTTGCGCGTCGATAATAAAGCTTACTATCTTCAAACATTTCTTCTTTTTCTTTTGGATAGTTCGAGATGCTTATCATTACCTTTTCTGCTTAAAATGTTAGTTTTGTATTTTGTATATCTTTCTCTGTTACTTGTATTAACCAGACTACTAGTTTTCCTCCTTATCACCGATATTTTTTGTGTTACTCCCTTAGACCCATGAATTAACCTTGGAGAGAATTGCACATACTGTGCAGCTAAAGAAAACCCGAGAAGAACGAAAAGCTGACACCACTTGTCCGACCAACTCAGAAATGCCACAGTTCCAGTCCTTGGCTAGCCGCTCAGAACAAGATTTAAAATCTATTCGACCATCTCCAACCAAAAGAAAATCTAATGATCCCGAAATATCGACTTCGAGTTCTATAGTACAGCAGCCAACTCAAAAAAAGCCTCCACATTCGAGAACGCTAAGTAGTAGTAGTAGCAGTAGTAGTAGTAATAGTGGTACTTCTAGTAGTAGTTGTGACATGGATATTGAAACATCGGAGAGTGATAGTGACAGCTCCTCAGAAAGTGATTCAAACTCATCTCTTAGTAGTTTATCAAATGACAGAAACAAAACGTCGAAAGCAAAACCATCTTCAAATGGAAAAACTACTACGAAAACGGTCAATGCAACAAATTTAGCAGCCCATCGTAAACTGATTGAACATGATTTAAAATTAAGTGATTCTGACTCTGATTCTTGTGCATAGAATGTTCTAGAGAAAAAAGCTGTTTTCTGTGATTTGTGCTGTAAATAGTGATTCTTACTATAAAAAGACATTAAAGAAGTATGTACCACTTTTCCGTATATGATTATCTCTTATGATTGATTTTGTCTTTAAATAAATACTGCTATTTACATGAATTATGTTCCATTCTTCCTTGCAATTATGTAAAAATTTCGTTTTATTCTTTATCTTTATATTCTATATATAACTCAGATGTTATGCAGTCAAATGATCTTGTGAGACTTATTAACTCGTTTAAACCAATAACTGTTACACCAAGATTATAGTCAGATCTACCTCTAGTGGTACTAAATTCTAGTCATTCTCTTCTCAAGTGTTCGTTCTAGCGGTCTTATCATTCCATGTGGATTGACTGGAGAATCTTTCAGATAGTTTAACCTTAAAGACAGTGAATAGCATTGACTTGATCTGTGATATATTGTTAACATTTACTACTCTGCCGATAGAATTATAGGACTATTGATGTCACTGTTTTTTCATGTATTTTGGAGTAGTTATCCTTATTATTACAAAAACAATTAAAATCTATGTAGAGTGCTTTTCAGTTTTCAATACTACCATAAAATCGATAAGTGTCTTCTTTCTCGATGAATCCATTCATGTATTTTCGGCATAGACAAACTTAAAGCTCTTAGCTGGTCAGTTAATTTGGACAGTAAATATTAGATCAATCCTCAAACATTATGTTGACCTTGTATCTCTGTCTTTCGATATAGAACCTATTCTGTGGGAATTTTGATTTTTAATTTGTTTTCTTTTAAAGACCGATTCAGTGATTTACCTGTTAAGTGAACAGACCATATCATTAGGCAACTCTAGACAGCAAATTATTTCCTATCTTTTTACATTACTTAATTGTAAATTTATTCTGTACTAGGATATGTTGCTTTATTACTGATAATGACTCCGGATTAGCCACCCAACAAGTTTAGTCAACTATTTTAGAATAACATCAAGACACATTGTTTGTTTTATTAACTCAAATGTTGGTTTAGGAGCTTAACTTTTTAAACCATCGAAATCTGGTGTTTATTGTCCTTCAACTACTGAGTTCCGAGTTAGTGAGTGAGGTGGTAGTCGATATGAAAAACAGGGATATGATTTATCCAATTAATACATTTCAAATAATTTGATTCTACATTTACTCGTCAAGACATTCCCTGTGAAAACTGAGGAAAGTCAAATAGATAAATAATGATGTCTGGAAATGTAAGAGACAGTTTGAATTGTCGGTTGTATCTGAGCATTCATTTCACTCAACTGTTCTAGAAAACTAATAGACTTTCAATATTAATCGATTTTCTTGAACTAAATACTGTCTTATATTGTATTTCTACATCGACATTCTTCTTAGTAGCCTAGGTTCAAATTGTAGAAAAACTAGGGTTAGTTAGAGGATTTTCTTATAGGTCGATTTGATTTTTAAGCTGTATTTGTGTGTATTGCTGAGCGATTCTACACTAGAATGGAGAAGTTGTCCAGTGCTTCCCGGTTTTCAGTAGTGCCCCAAATGAGATGAAAACAACCTTAGGATTTAGAGATATTTACAAATTTAAACAAAGCAAGAACAGAGTTCGTAAAGAAAAATCTATTGTATTTTGAGTTTTCTCACCATTTGCAAACAACCTGAAATTACAAGAGGCGATATACTTATTAATTGTCACAAATTAATTTGTTTGTAGTGTTAATTGTGTAGTCGTTCATCATTCCTGTTTTGATTATTAGTAATCGTAATATCACCGCTACAACTGTTCTGCAACGTATGTACGCGTCAATTTGAACTGTTTAATAACATATGTTGCTTATCATGGTTTTCGGTTTCTTTATAAATATTCATTTCACTTTCAATTACTAAAGTCTGTACAACGTTTGCTTATTATTATATTGCTCCTTTTCAGTTTAGACTGTTCATGGTTGTTAATAAAAGACTTCAAAATACAATCAATTCATTTTGTTCTACAAATTTTGTTGTTTTTACATTGTTTAAATTTATCAAAAAAAGGCAAACAGATAAAATTACCGAAGTGCTCCATTGGAATTATTATTTTATGTTCTCTGAATTATAAATTCTATTTATTATTTATTTATTTCAACACATAGATAATGGTACAAAGAGGCACCAAATACATATGCGCCACACAAATCTCATTCGATATGTGTGTGAGGGCTGTGATACTGCCCGGGTGCCCAAACCGAAGCAGGTGGTTTTCTTAAGGGGCCACTCCCCGAGCCTTCGACCTGAAGGTCTGATCCACAAGGCAGTGGAGCATCGTAAAGAGATGCAGTCCCATGGAAGCCGGTGACCAACAATTGATTCATTCGCCATTTGTTCTCGCAGGATACTGGAGCCCATGTGCACCATTGGTTTGGAATCCGGTTAAAGCGCCGGACATTCGCTTTTCGTCCTCTCATTTTCGTAAGCAACACCCCCGCCACGAGAAGGCAGTGAGTAGGACTTCCCTGGCAGAGGCTATATACGCGTGGCCGTGTGAGAGTATTTCGAGAGGGAGAGCGGGCTCACCCCACTCTCGGCCGTACCAGGGCATTTGGGGGCTAACCAAAGGTTATTCATGTTGTACCGTCCAACCATTTAGTTTAATCAAATCTTTGAAATTTTTCAAACCATTGATTTCTATAAGATTTGTTTATTTGTGTTTTTTTCTTTCCTATCATTTTAGGGTACATTTATATGTATGTGAAATGAACTATCAGCTAAATTATTACACCCTGTGAAATCAACTAATTTTCACTGATTCTTCTCTATCCAACTCAAAAATTTTTATTGTTTTAATGGTTATAGTTCAGTATATTGTATTACGTCGTGATTTGTCAACGGTATTAAATTGGCCATTAGGTGCATTAATTGCACAAGGTTGTCATGCCGCGACAGCAGCCATTACTACTTACTATACACATTCAAATACGGTGTTATATCTAAACGAACTAAATAGAATGCATAAAATTGTTTTAGGAGTTGAGAATGCAGAACAATTGGAAAATTTAGCAAATAAATTAAAAGATGCCGGTATTGATTATTATTTGTGGATAGAACAACCGGAAAATCTATGCACAGCATTAGCTACACGCCCATACGAGAAATCAATTATTCAGGTTTATTTCAAAGGACTTAAATTATTATCATGAACTAATATATATAACGTTGTGTCATAGTGTTGTTTTGTAGAATTTGTGAATGCAATTTTCAAAAAAATCTTTGTTTTTGTTAAAATAAACAAAAGAAGGCACTTCTTTTACATTATTATTGACAACTTGGTCGTTTAATTCGGCATGTTTTTTTCTGACGATAGTTTGTAGCTTTTAGTTCTTTTGATTGGATTGTTTAACTTTAACGGTTAATCAATAGATTCCTAATCATTTCTTTATACGTTCAAATAAAATACACCCAGTTTTATTTATGGCATACTTTGAACATGTGGACTGTTGATAATTGAATTTTCTTTAGACAATGTGTCATGTGTTTCAATTTGAGATTCTTTTTCGATGTAGTATTATTAGGTTTTTGCAAATAGGTAGTGATTCTTAGTTCACATTATGGAGGTACAAACAGTTTTTATAGTAGGAGTTTCCCCATAGATTGACATGTGTTCGCATGATTTTGGAATTTGGGATTATTCTACTTCTATGGTGATAGAATATTGCTACATACCTTTTACTTCTAATCGTCAACATGTACATACACTGCTTAGTACTAGTATATAAATGTCTAAAGAACTGAACTTTGCAAATTCACTCCACGTAAAGGATTTCTACTAATTAATTCAAATCTGTTCGAGGTGCTAACTTGATTCATTATGAAGAATGTGCACATTTTATTGTATCCAGGCGACTATACTGTTTGTGAAGTCCTCAAGGTTTTTCCACCTTAATTCAAAATAGTAGATAAATAACATTACACAGTGATTGTCACTTTCCAAACAGAAAGGAAGTTATGGGTAGTGGTTCGCACAGAATTATCAGTTTACAATCGAGAATAAAAGACAAAACCATGACATCGATGAATGTAAGTAAGACCTTTATATATAAACAAGTTAATAGAGATTAAGTACGGTATCGAACACTGATCTCGGGAAAACTGCGACCAACCAAAAATAGCAAATGTGAATGAGTAATTTATAGTACAAAATGAAAGAATTTCCAAAAAATATGTGTTTACATCAATAGTAAACATCCCAAAGTTGGCCAAAAGTTCTAGCTTGAGTTAAGCGTACTTTGTATGGTCTAACCTAACAAACACTAACGAAATGTCGAAGACGATCGTATTATTACCGTTATTGATAATCTTGACTGAGTTTGTATTAGTTGACATTTGTGCATGCTGTACAGATAGCATCAATATATCGCTAACACTGATATCCAGTTCGTGAATTCCAAATAAAACGAAACGCATATCCTGAATTCCATTGTTAGACTCAAATCCATAAATTCTACTAAAGACCGCAACAAAATATCACTTCCCCGTGTTTTTGTACATATTCGTTTCATTAGTACAATTCCGACTGAGTTTTCTTCAGTATCTCAACGTCTTATTATTACCCATCAGTAGTTTTCTCATTAAAATTAACCATTATACAGTCACGAGTTAGCACCATGAGGCTGTGTATCCATTACAAACCTGGAATCACTTTGATCCTAGTTAGTTGGAACTAATATTTTACCAGTTGAATTCATAAGTCGATCTAAGCTAGACCACCATTGGAAACCTGGAAGAAATGGATTATCATATGCTTACTAGTGACTAGCTTCAAGATGGACTTCCTGGAACACTAATGAGAAGCCGTGACCAGCAGAGTCCAATCCCTGTTTGATAGAGACAGTTATCCACCTCAAACAATGAACGAAGGGTTGCACAAGATCAGGAATCGATTAAAGTTAGACGTTAATACCGTAGAATGCCGGCTTAGTGGTCTAGAGGTTGTGTTTGCGCCCGAGTACCACATGCATGATCTTGGATCATACTAGTGAGGAGTCCCATACTAGGACGAAACGGACGTCCAGTGCTTCCAGGTTTTCAATTGTGGTCTAGCTTACATTGATTCATGAATTCAACCATTAAAAATTACTACAATTTCTACAAATCCCCATTCTGATAATATTTTACCCTCATTGTGAACCAGATAACTAGCTATTGAATATAAACAGGAAATATTAATTTAAGCTAGTCAAAAACGCAATATGTAATACAGTGTATTATAGTGCAGCATTTCGATTATTATCAACTACAGATAATTATCAATCATATTGATCATCTACATTCAAAGAGATTAAATCAAAAATCAATATTTTGGTATTTATTTAGTATAGTAGAGAATTTATAAAATGTTTGGAAAGAAATCCAAGAATTTACCAATTTATGAAAACGAATCACATTCTAAAGCTAATATAACTGGAAATCTAAAAAATCCCAATCATCATTTTTCTTATGATTCGAGTATTTCAAGTGAAAACTTGATGTTTAATAAAAAGTTAACTGGCAAATTTAAACAAAATAAAGCTTTAAGTTTAATTTACAAAATGAATATATTCTCACGTAATAGGCAAACTGTCAACAAAATAGTCAATTATAATGATTCAGTTCAACTTGATATACCTAATGATGAGTCTATGGAAGAAAATAGATCAGTTAACTTGAGTCTTTCTCCAACGCATAAATCAGAATTCGATAGTAGAAACACTTCCCCTATTTATTGTGATCAAAAATCTGAACAGCATTGTAACTCTAAAGTCACTAGACTATCCACGAAATCTATATCAAAAACAGATTCACAAAAGAATAATCCACTCCACACGGATATATACACGCATGATAATAGCATATATGGATGTACAAGTGAATCATCTGGATTTAAAGAACAACAAGGTGCAATTTCATCCTCATTACCATTCACAATCCCGGATCCAACTGCTTACAGAGATTTAGATAATGCTAGTCCTGAAACTATTGAACTATGTCGTCATCATTCATGTCACTATTGCTTCTATGTTTATTTTCCATCATCAACTGTGAGTTATATATATATATATATATATATATATATATATATATATATATATATATATATCTTTCATGTGATCATTTGTTAATCCTACATTATAGTCTACTTTAATGTATCTTTAACCACTGAGCTAGTATATTCAAATGCCTCTCGAATTTAAAACAACAGGGTAATATCATCATTGTTCATCTAGTATGTGACTTTAGAATTGATTACCATTCTAAATATAGTACTAGGAAAGATAGGCTAAACTGTAAAATTAAAGGTAGGTATCAATTGAAGAAGTATATTTATATCATAAAAGCAGCATTACAATCTTAAACTAAACGTTTTGCAATCGATAATAAAGTGTATTTAGATCAGATTAAATTTGAAAGGTATCAATGTCCACAAAATGTATTCACATATTAACTCTTTTTTAACCATCTCTATAAGTTTGAATTGAGTCAATAGATTTCTCTATGGAAAGAGTGTTCTATATAATCTTATTATAAAAATATACTGTTGATAGGAATATACAGATATATATTATTTTGCTAGAGTGTTACTCATCATTGAGACTACTTCAACTTGAATAAACTATTTGATTTATGGTACAAGAATTTCATCAGTATAATTAAGAAATGTCAAGGATATTGTTTAGTAGTATTATGCACCCTACTTTTTATTTTTACGTAGAAATAATCTATTGAGTTACTAAATAATTGTTTGAACCTGCGCAAGCTAGTACCTATCTAACGTTAATAGTTCAACGAGTAATGGGTTTGGTGTTTTATATGAAAGTCTCCAGGTTCGAGTTCTAAAATTAACCTTATTACTGAGATGTATGTACATTCAGTTGACGAGTCCTGAATGGTACGAAACGTGTTTTGGGTTCCACTGCTAGCAATTACCCACCTTTACCTAACAATGTTTTTTGAACTGTATAAGCAAATGTTTGTTGGGATTCATTCAGCTGATATGCATATTTGTTTTAGAAACCTTGAATGGTTTACAATTTCATACTTTTATTCCTTATGCTTCTGGCATACTTCCATCTTTCTCTCCCTTTTCTGTAATTGTGATGTGAATCAATCTCCGATAGTGCCACGTTATTGTCTTATTGTATTCAGTTAGCTAGTTTATTAACGTAAATATAGGACTTTTTGGTCTATTGATTGAAAAAATAAACTGGTATAAAAACTATAGTCTCAGTTTAAAATTGTGTTAGGTCCTGATAAGCATAATGAATGGTAACTTTGGGATCCATTTATGGACCAATACTAAACGTATATTTTATCGTATAATTGTTAAATAACTTAACTATTCACATTCTTATTATTATAAGCTTTACTTTGATCTATGAACCATTACTATACGTCTTACCATTCTTGAATTATGCCCTGTCTATTAGTCCCACATTTGGCCATATTTTGTACAAATGTTATTTTCTATTTTATGGTACGTTGTGGCCTGTTTGATTGGTATATATACCGGGTAAATTTGAAATATATGATTCATATCGCAGAGGCTGGGCTTAGTGTTCTGAACTTAACTGGCTGGGCTAGGCGGACAGCAGGACCAATCAGGACTATAGGCTGCTCATACGGGTTTACGCGTCATTGATCCGATCGGTAAGTCACTGCTCTCTGATTGGCGGTATCGTTATACTATACATTAACAGGTCACAGGTTATAGCAAACTGTCAATAATCAAAATACTTCTGGCTGCTCTGGACAAGATTATTGTATTAAGATTATCAGATTACCTAACAAATCGATGTCAAAAATAGATTCATATCACCACAATCTATAAGCCAACTCACTCCATACAGGTCTTAGCTGGGACCCTAAGATTTCATGCAAACAATATGTGCGTCATTTATTTGATCTCACTTAATCAATATGAAGAACCGGCGTACCTTACTTTCTGCGTATCTGGGATTTTCAGTACTACTTCTCTTGGTCTCACTTGTGTATGTATAGAATGAAGTTTAAAACCAGAGCAGGCTTTTTTGGACTGGTTTCCAATAGTCATAAGTTCATGAAGACGTTAGCAACTGAAATGGGTCATGTAAGTGGGTGGAGACTACCTAAAACTCTTATAATTTTTACTACTCTAATATTTGTCTTGATAATTTGGTCTCACTTCATCAAAATTATCCCTACTATCAAATGAATTGATTTAAAGAGAGCTTTAAAGAGAAATCTATGCACTGCATAACTTTTAGCAATCTAATGATTCAAGTTTAAACTCTGTGTACAAGAGCAACATCTCTAATCTCACGACTCACTTTTTGGTCCGAACCTCTTTTTTTAATGAGTATAATTTCTAATTCTAGTTTGTTTTTTTAGAACTATTAATCAGTTATTATTAAATTATTCAATTATTCTTTCCTCCAAATTAATCAGGTAGACAATCATCTTTAAAGTGTATTCATCTTACTTTTTTGTTCATTAGTCTGTAGCTAACAATGTAGTGAACGAAATGTCATGTATGATATATTAATTTACTATTATATTCAAAAGTTGAAATCATGAGTTAGTTGAAGCTGGACCGCCGTGGAAAACCTGGAAGCACTGGATGGCCGTTTCGTCCTGTTGTAGGACTCCTCAGCAGTGCTCATCCACGTTCTCACCCCCCCCCGCGGGATTCGAACCCAGGACCTGTCGGTCTTGAGCGTGAGCAATTAACCTCTAGACCACTAAGATGACATCCAGCAGCCATTGTATTCAGTGAGCTGATATCTCACAACAGACCTGGTTGAACTCCACTGGTCATTGCTTCTCACTAGAACTCCAGGAAATGCCTCTTGAAGTCAGTCACTAGTGAGCAGATGATTATTATCAGATGGGGTTTTGTGGGGATTTTAGATATTTCAATAGTTGAAATAATGATTCAATTGAAGCTCAGTGAAGTTAATGGTGGACAGTGGCGACATTTCGTGGATTGGTTAAAGTTAGACATTAACACCGTTAGATACCGGCTCAGTGGTCTAGTGGTTAAGCGTTCTCGCGCAAGACCGATAGGTCTTGGGTTCGAACCGTACGAGGGGCGAGATCGTGGATGCGCACTGCTGAGGAGTCACACAAGGAGACGAAATGGCCGTCCAGTGCTTCCAGGTTTTCCATGGTGGTCTAGTGAAGCTAGCTTCAATTGACTCATGATTTCAACTATTGAAATTCCTAAAATCTCCACAAAACCCCTTCTGATATTATATTCAAAATCGTACAGTGTGTTTGTAAAATATGAAATTCATACATTATATACATCATTTGCACATCATTCTTCAGTTGTCCTTTACATACTCCATTATTCTTCTAATTCTGTTGTTAATCCTATTACACTCCGTTTTCCTTCCTCTTCTCTTCATTTCATTCTTCTGTTGATAAACATTCCACTTCCTATTCCTGTTACATATTACTTATATCTGTCCATATACGAGGTGCAAACTATAACTACATAAATTTCTTTTAATATCAAATTATTCTTAAACAATTTATGACGCAACTTTTTTGTTTGTTTGTTTTCTCCAACAGAATACTGTATATTATGTTATACTAGTTTATTTATAAGTATACATCTTCAATAAATTGTATTGTCCATAAGGAAATTTCCCCTATCAAATAATCTTTCATATGTTTGTTTGTTTATTTTTTTTTGGCATTTTGTTTTCAATTTTCTCATTCTCTAGGTAGATGATTGTTTATTACCATTTCGAAGAAAATATTTCCAAGATAAATTTTCACAATTAAAAAATTCACAATATAATAATGAAATTAAACAAACTAAATATGCACAAAATATATTTTCTGATCGTCGTATTCATTCAATTGAAAAACAATCTGGTACACAAATACATTTAAGTGAACTTTATTCAAGTATAATATGTATTAAAGGTATACCATGTCGACGTTTAACTATAGCAGGTCCATCATTTGTTAATATTTGTTATGCATTAAATTTATTAGAAAATTTATTACCAAATATTATTAAAGGTGCTATTTTTCCATATCGATTACCAGAAGGTTTATCAACACGTTTTCCATCTGGTTCAAGATTAAGTTCAATGTATCAATGGAATTATGTAAGAGATAATGTTTCAACTTTGTTCAAATCATAATTAAATGATAAACATTAAATGGGTATCAATGCGTGTGTGGATGGTTTTAATAAGCAATACACAAAATTACTAATATTCAATTAGTAAAAATGTAAGTTATGCTGTTATGTTTTGTTTTTCATATCAAAGAAAGAAATGTAATACCTGTTTTATTTTATGAAAATCATTAAGAAAATGTTTAATTTCACTTCTAAAAATTGTTTTTTATCATTTCTTGACATCACTTAAACAAGAGGAAGGTTGATTATTAATACAGTGGTCTTGAGTGCTGTTAGAGGTATGAGAGCGGTTATCACTTCCCGGTTGCTCACACCATGGAAAGGTCCTTCTGGAGGTATCTGAAAAAGAAGTTGGATTAGAGATGGTCTTAGTGACCTGAGAGCGTAACTGCAGTGCTCATGGGACAACTGCTTGAAGTCGGTCACACACGACCTCTTTGCGAGTAATTTTCGTGTTAGCTTCTTACTTGTTGAGACCATACCACCGAAGACGGATATCCGTGGGATAAGGCGAGGTGTGCATTTTTAGGGTCGAACTTCTCTTACTCCACTCCTCATTGTCTGAAGGCGGCATCACTGTCATGCTAGTTGTCTGAAGGAAACACCCTACTGCCGTCACACCTCTGTACAGTCAGCAGTACGAATTCGCCCTCTTCAACCGACCTGTCTGGCATGTTAGGACCTTGAGGAACGATTGTTCTAGCCAGTATAGCTCGATTAATTCATCATGAGAGGCAAGCCCGACCACCACATCAAGGTAGCAAGATAGCCTGAACTCCGTTTACCACGACACGCAGTGCTGACTAGTGTAGGGGATGGCTGGAAGAAAGTTAGGGACGGCCAAACCAAAACGTGGCATCAGTGCTTGAAGTCACTAACTTCTAGCCTTGGGCATGTTCGTAGATGCAGACTACTTGGTTGGGGTCCCCGTCACTATCGTAGCCAATGGTTGGAGACTCTGGATGACATGGCTCAGAATCGATCACAGTGGCGTAGGTGTATACACTCTTTGTCTTCCCTTAAACTATGAGATTAAAATCCCTTCATATCTTTCTTTCTACGAACTAATTCTTTCTTCCTGTATTATATCCTTATATGCAATTTTTCTTTTGTATATTACCACCATTGAATTAACTACGTCTATGAACTGGGTGTTCATCTTGCTGTGCTAGTGAGGTATGGAAACTTGAACCGATACATATATGTGCCTAGTCCTATCTTCTAGCTGACTGACTGATCTGTTAAACAATTCTTTAAAATTACGGGGCATTTGAAAGCTTTAAACTGAATAGACAATTTATCATTTTCAGTATCAGGTAATAATAATAATATAAATTATTATTATCTGTAAAATGTAGTCATATGAATAGCTTGCTTTTTGGAAAACTCGTTAGAAGATTTGTAGCCTACCGTAACCCTCCATTACTTGTTATCAATAAAACTGGGTGTTATAATTCTTCCTAATCTAGTCAGACATTTAATTTATGATAATTTATTGCATTTTTAGTTCATTTTTGTATTGGTTGCTTGAATTTTCCAGTTGATGTTTAGGTTTGCAATTGATCAGTCTCTTATTGGTATATGAGTATCCTGTTCGGATTGCCTCGATATTGCCTTAAGTCACAAGCATTATAAGCAGAAATGATGTTGACTGATCAATTGCAGTCCTAAACATCATTAGGAACATTCAAACAACCAATACAAAAATAAATTCAACTTTACCCCGTTGCACAAGATATTGGCTATCTGAACTCAGCAGTTAAGTGGATAGTGTTATGACATTTGAAGTAGACGGAACTTGGTTCATGTCCCGTAGTGAACATCAACTGAGTTTCAGTCACATTCAGCTGATGAGTATCAAATAAGACGGAACTCATGTCATAAATTCCACTCCTAGCCGTCATCATCTCTGTTTATTGCATTTTTGTTCATAAAAGTTTTGAATTTCATAGATGGTCACTTTTTCTCATCTTCTCTATCATTGATGTTTGACCTTATAAGTTTAGATAAATCTGTACTTTTGCTTACACAGTTAGATAATAATGAAAATAAACATTATCTAAAAAAATTTGATTCATAAATTATTCTAACTGAACATCTATCATAGAAATGTCAATGATATAAAGCACAAATTGTAATTGAAATACATAATCAGAAGTAACACTATTCTAGAGTACATCATTATTTTATGAATGCATACTGTAATAGTCATCAATCTTGCAAACACGTAGTGATCTTTAGTAAGTGGTTTAAGGAAAACATAAGTATCTGAAAAAAATTAGCATAACTACTAGGTCATGACCGTTTTCTGATAATGGATATTACATCTACGCCAATGAAGGTTTATATAACATCTTATTCATCAGTGCTAGATCTTGGCATCACGTAACACTTTTGAGTACAAGATTACCTGTAAACTATTTTTAATGTCCAGTTTTATAGTGCATTTAATTTATAGAAAGCCAAGTTTAATAAATTGCCATCAATGATGATGCTTTAGATCAACGAGACTTTCGTATAATACTAAGGCATGAAATTGTTTTTCCGATTACTGTTAACTGTAGGACGTACCATTTATATACTAGTATTTTCTCAGTAAAGGGAACAAAGTAAATGCTTTACTACTCCAAAACACCAACACAACTATAAGGGAAAACTGACAAAATGAAAATAAAAGTAGTTGAAATAATGATAATAATAATAATAATAATAATAATAATAATAATAATAATAATAATAATAATAATAATAATAATAATAATAATAATGGAAACATAAACATTGAGAATACAATTCTAGCAGAATGAATAAAATCACGAACTGGAGGGGATGAAATCATGTGAAAAGTGAGGATTTAAGGTAAGATAAGAAGTGAATACCTCCGAACAACTTAGATCAATTCTTAACCATTTCACTAAAGTCCTTAACCTACTGATTATGATTGTTACACAAGCTGCTACCAGGTGATCTGCCCCTCCTGACATGCATTATTTCTACATGCATCAATATCAGCTGAGCTCAGCCTTCTTTCAACCTAAAAGTGTGCTAACCTTTACTCTATATCTGCATAGCCAGTGGCTAGGATCTGAAAGTGATGTTTTGTAGTTTATTCAAAGTTATAACTATTTAATTTATTTTTACACATAGTATAAATAAAGTTTAAAACATTTACAACCGATTAATCGCTGAATGGTGGTCAATATCATGTATGTCGGGTTCTTTTTAGTACTAATCAGATTCTATAGATTAATTTGTATCAAGGCCACTAGTCTAAATGACTTGATATCACGCGCGCTATGTTGAAACATAGGGTAGTTGTAGATAGTCAAAAAGAAACCCTGAACCTAGATAGTAACGTCTCTAACTGTGGGACTGACTGACAAGAGACCGAATACACCAGGATGAATCAAGTCCCTGAAGATCATAGGTAAACCTTGCCGATCAGAGCGGAAAAGTACGAAGTCTAGGTCCAGAATTTTCTGTCGAATACCTCCCAACAACCACCTAATTGGTCAAACATTAAATTTTAAACACAACTATCGCATTTCTTCATACTCACCAGCAAAATGTATATACAATCTGAAGTAAACCTAATATGGTTTTGAAATCTAGATTTCCACTATTTAATACAATCGAAATTTATCTCCGAACAAATAAAGTCTGAATTATGTTCACAGATCAATCATGATCCGTGAGAATTACAGAATGGGTGAATCGTGAACCAGAATAATTTGTTTGAAATCATGAAATTCTCAATGTTAGACCGCTGCTGAAAACCTGGAAGCAATGAACAGCCGTTTCGTCCTAGTTCGGGACTTCTCAACATTGTTAAAATCAGAAATTTTTCCCACTAGTATTATTATTATTGTTTTTATAATAGCAAATAATAAGACCACTAAGGTGAAACGAAAGGAAATTTTTTTCAAAATAAATTCTTATTACATTACGAAAACTTACTAAAAGGTTATTGCTGCATGTCGATTTCTATATGTGTGATCCAATCAAGGATTGACTTCTGTAGTACAACAATCCTATAAATATCATACATGATTACTGAAATAATTCTTCAGTTTCTTTTTTCTAACGTTCTTGTAATGACATAATATGATCAGTTAGGTTATTGAGTTTTAATAATAACGATATTTGACCTGATAACGTCTATTATTCAGATTCAGATTGTCAGTCACTCAGCTACAAGGTAGGACTAGGCACATATATGTATCGGTTCAAGATTCCATACCGCATTAGCACAGCATGATGAACACCCAATTCATAGACGTAGTTAATTCAATGGTGGTAATATACAAAAGAAAAATTGCATATAAGGATATAATACAGGAAGAAAGAATTAGTTCGTAGAAAGAAAGATATGAAGGGATTTTAATCTCATAGTTTAAGGGAAGACAAAGAGTGTATACACCTACGCCACTGTTATCGATTCTGAGCCATGTCATCCAGAGTCTCCAACCATTGGCTACGATAGTGACGGGGACCCCAACCAAGTAGTCTGCATCTACGAACATGCCCAAGGCTAGAAGTTAGTGACTTCAAGCACTGATGCCACGTTTTGGTTTGGCCGTCCCTAACTTTCTTCCAGCCATCCCCTACACTAGTCAGCACTGCGTGTCGTGGTAAACGGAGTTCAGGCTACCTTGCTACCTTGATGTGGTGGTCGGGCTTGTCTCTCATGATGAATCAATCGAGCTATACTGGCTGGAACAATCGTTCCTCAAGGTCCTAACATGCCAGACAGGTCGGTTGAAGAGCGGTAAGACTAAAAGCAGCAAATCCAAGGTCCGAAGTCGTACTGCTGACTGATAGTTTTTCTAATATAACAGGCAATTAGAAATTTAAAATGTTGAAACTGGTATATTATTTAAAGCAGTTCGTCCCTTTGATAAATTTCGATAATGTTATAAGAAGACAAAGATTATGAGAACTATGTAATGATATATTAGCGCAATACATTTCGAACAATCTGATCGCACATGTACTTGATAAGAACATTCATCATCCTCTATTGCTAAACATATAATTGAAACAGGTCACAAGATTGATCAAAATTCAGCTTTTGTAGTGCTGTATAAAAGTGTAAAAGGGCGTATATTAACGTTTATTGAAACCTTAGCCATACAAAAATTCAAACCCCCTTCGTGTATTCGAAAACAGTTTGTTCTCACCTTAAACCTACCCTGGTAATATTGACTTATTATTCAGAGTGATTTTAGGTGTCAAATTGTGTTCACATGATTATTATTATTACTCTTATCATAATACTTGTCTCCTATTACCCCCATTTCCAGTCTAGTTGACCTTTTATTTTCTTTTATGCACAAATATTCTGAACACGTATATATGTAATGCTTTCTATTATATTTACATATTTTTTTTAGATTTCTGAGCAAATGTCAAAATCATTACTAATGGAAGATTGAGATTAAGATAAATTTTATGCATAAATAATCTGTATACAACTTAGACACTATTTAATTGTGGTCTAAGTTGTTCATCGTTTTTTTTTCCACGTAACATTTAACTTATTCAATTCATTTTTATTTAATTCTCATTCACTTGTTACATGTGAACTTAAAATCATTAAAATTTTGTTTTAATATCAAAATCTTTTTTGAATTAGAATGAAAATAAATTACTTTCTATATACATAAGCAAAAGGAAACAAAAACTCATGATGTAACTATGTTACATGTGATTATGATGTCACGTTTAATATTTGAAGTAAGAAAACAATTTATCTATTGATTGAATATTCAAGATAAGCATCTAATAATTATCAAGAGCGAATATGTAAAGAAAAGAAAACAAAAAAAAGAAACTTGGTAATAAAGTTAAGTTATATTTAACTGGTTGAAATCATAAGTCAGTTGAAGCTAGAACACCATGGAAAACCTGGAAGCACTGGACGGCCGTTTCATCCTGGTATGGGACTCCTCAGCAGCGCACCGTCCAGTGCTTCCAGCTTTTCCATCGTGGTCTAGCTTCAACTGACTCATGATTTCAATCTGTGAAATTTCTAAAAAATCTCCACAAAACCCATTCTGATAATATTAAGTTATATTGATAAGTATACTAATACAAATGAAAAATACAATGACTTGTATTCATCTTGAAGGAAAAATAAAACTTAAATATTATTTTGTTGATAAACCATTTGTAAGGTGGAGAAACACCAATGTCCATTATAAATTACTTGTAGATTTTACATGAACTTTAATATCTAGTTAAAGAAGCTCCGTTATGTTATGTAGATTCTTCTAACTGACATAATTGTAAAACATGATATCAAGTGTAAAATACAAATCATGTTAAAGATATGTGTATTTCATGTATTTAATAATTAGCGGACATACCGTAGGAGTGGTGGATGTATGTAATGCTGACATTGGCCTAGGCAATGATCATTGAGCGGTATGACTCAGTTTAGAAATCCAAGTAAACAATAAAATATAAGCTTGTAGATAGATAATATACACATATATACCCATAGAAAAGTACAGTACAAGAGATGAATAACTACTTCTGTGAAAATTAGTACGATGTTTTTAACAACAGTAGGTGCAAAAAAGTACACTTAGAGATACAGGATCATAGAATAATTAATCTAACTAGAATGTTGAATTTACGATTCGTGGAAGGACATATGACATAAGAAAGTAATAATAATTGTTAAATAGCATTGTGGACCATTAACTTATGTGATCTCGGTCGATGATTGTGGAATGGTATGACCTCTCAGCCTATGTCAATGACTTATGTGTATATATGATAATAACAATAGTGGTATGCTTTTTCATGAATTAGTACAAAAAACAATTAGACGTGAAAAATCAGACGTTGTGTGTGAAACTGAAATGTCTCTAAACAAGACCAAAATAGATGTACTATGTATGTGGAGAGCGAAAAAAGTATCAGTCACTTTAAGTGATTGATGTTAACAACAAAATCGGATACTGAGTCTATAATTTAAATATAAAAAATGAGATGCAAGCATAGAGGATGGATGCATGGATAAAAAAAATAAAACATTAGCATCAGTAGTTTAAGATAATGCTTAAAACAAAATTTGAAACTCCATCTATAATGTACGCATGAGACAAATAATTAAACTTCAGAAGGTTAACAGGGCAGAATTTTGATGAAATAAAAGATGACTGCTATTATGTTTTACAAACATGAATGAATAAAGAATGATTAGGTTTAAACATGTTTCAAGAAGCCACATATTAGTGAACACCACTGATAAGTAATTAGTGGCCTTTTATGCAGATAACATCACATCTTCGTGTGTAAGACAAGAAAACTAAAATAGTTGAATAACGAATTCTTATTGAAAAATATGTGGAGTTATGCATGACAAACTTATTTTGTAAATAATTTCTAATGTCATTTGTATTTATTCGGTTGGTTTTTCATAGCCTGTACATTTACCATGAAATGATTGTACGTGTTGTTTAAGTGTATGGCCTTGAACACACTTTCTTCCGTCGTGTTACACGCATAGCATGACACACGTTGTTACCTACTAACAAATACACTGGCTATATATACACACACACCTCTTGTTCTCCATTTGCTCGTGGTTGTGTTAACTGAACTCCAAACCAACTACCGTCTACATTTATAGACTACATCCAAATTATACCATATTCTACGTTTGGTTATATCACTGGAAGGAAATCAATCTCATTGGAATCTTTAATCATCTATAATTGTGGATTTTTGGTACCAAACTCAACCGGAACACGCACAAACCTGCTGAATTAAGTAACATCTCTAATTTTTGTTGTACATATGACATTTAATTGGTATATATTGACATTACTATTTGTACTTAGTAACTCTGTTATCATTTTTTGAGTTAAAATATTATTTGCTTCACCACAGATACTCACGACTCTACTGTAGCTAACATAATTAGGCAGTGGTGAGTCAATGTATATTGTAATTCGCTCAGTACACAAGTAAATTACCAACATCAAATACTTAAACGTTTTTAACTATTCGATTTAATGGCGAAACCGTATGAAAGTGTGTTAGATGTTGAAAATCTAGAACTTATGAGCCATAGTATCAGTACACTAGGAACTGAACTTCCAAGGGAAAATGTGAAGCTATTGAATAATTTCTAGTACCAGATGCATTGGAAAAACTGTTCTTATTGGGAATAGTTAACTTTTATCATCGTTCAGTTCCTCATCGTCCTTTTATTTTTCAATCTGTAGCAAATTGAGTGGAAAGATAGGTTAAAAATTTCATGTCGTCTCACAAAAATAAAAATGTCTCTCAGCAGTCAAACTAGTAGTTACTAACTCAAATGACGGAACTTTGATTTTTAGCACTCATACGTCGCAGTCAGCCATGGGTGCCGTGCTTTCACAACAGGAGGATAGTGATATCAGACTGACTGCACTGTTTCCTTAGAAGCTGAGTCCACGTCAAAAGTGTGTGTAGCATATCTGAGAGAGAAATGTCTCTTCACTTAACCATTATGCACAACATTTGTTTACTTTTAGACGGCGATTTCCTAATTTTGCCCTACATTTCGAGAAATGCCCAACATCTGGTCTGCATTTTACAATTATCAATCATTATCTGGTTCATTATTAGTGCCGATATTCCTGCATAAGGTGACCTAAATTCAGTGGACTCATTTAGTGGAGTCAACTCTAAAAAAGTCATACGGCTTCATGCTATTCGGCCCAATTTCGTTGCCCATCAACAAAATCGAATTTATTTTTGAATGACATTTCGTTACCTTCATCAGAATCAACTAATGTACGTGACGTTTTGAAAGAAGTGAGACTAATGTGATTTTTGTTCTTAACCACACGGTCTTTGAATCCGAGCATGTAATTACCGAGAAGATTTACACACAACATGTAACGCTTGAGGTATTCAAGAGATGGCGATCGCGCAACGGTTGCTCGGTATGGCATGACTTAGCCTTTCAAAAATTGTATATATGTACAATCTATACCTTTCCACACCAACTATGTTGTTTTATCCTCAGGCGAAATTCGTTCTTCAAAATACTATGCATCATACTGTATCACGATGGGACGAGTCAGTATAGATTATGATGTGACTTTCACCTAAGGTCCTATAGATAAGGAATTCACATCATGAGAAATCTACGGGTTTGGTATTTGGTCTGTTTCGAGTTCAGAGTACAATGAAGCGGCTACTGTGATTGTTGAAATAAAAAGGCTGAGCCATCCCATTCGATTTAATTCAATTTCTCGTTCTTGTGCTCACTATTCTTGGCCTTCTCTCTGTATTAGATGTTGAGTATCTATTTTTCCAGTTACTTCACGTTTAGCTTTGAGGATTATGTGGTTAGGACCAACACCAATACAATGGTGCCAACACAGTTCGACCATATCACTGGGTTAACTCTCTTAACATTTGTTTGCCTTATACAGATTTTTGACTTTGTCGTTAAGAGTTATGATATTATTACTTGGTGGACAACATGATACGCATTTTATTCGTTAAGTTGTGATATTTACATATTTCCAGATGATTTTACGATTATTTTTAGCACAATAAGCAGTGAATTATTAGTGTTCTTATCACTTTTTTAATGTGTGTTCCACAATTGCAGGATAACCACACCATATGTATGTATAGGGACACTTAAATTCCCACACATATTTAGTTGTTTATCATCTTGAAAAGGTTAATTCACTAAGTGTGACAACCAAGTTTCAAAAGTTTGCTTTGAACGCAGAGCTGACGTTTATTTCATTAGATCGAACTACTTCCTTCTGTATAGAGTAAAACGTTTGTTTGCGCCACTGGTATTTATTTATATCGAAGTACATACTTTGCTTTTAATCTAAGCGGTTCTATACAGTGCTGTACAGTTAATCAATGATAGTATTCTCAACAAAATTCTATCAAACGTCAGCAAGAACTTGAGTGAACGTCCCCAGTAGATAATTAAAGGTCAATGATCGTTAGCCAAACACGACCTTCTTATCAATGAACCAGGAACATGCAATAAACGTATTAATTAATTCGCGTAAATCTTAATCAAAGTCAAATAATAAGGACCTAGACAGCGCTTTCGGAGGTACGTGCTTGCATGTGTCCTGAATAAAAGTTAGGATACAATACGGAGTGGAAGTACAAAGAATTACCAATCGAGTTCAACAAGACCATGAATGAGCTTTAAGCTTATCTCTTCTGTTACATTGATTGTAAAACACAAAATTCAGCGTAATATAATTTACCTAAACTGGAAAAAATACAATGACGCACTCTATTTGGGTAGATCAAAAGGGCTTGTTATGGATGGTGAATTCTCTACGGCGACGTGAAAAACTGCACGAGGCTGTGTACACGAATGAATGGATAAATACAGATTCAGATTTAGATTTGTGTAGTAAGGACAGAAGGCCTAC